TAGAATGTACAAGCCCAGACCCGGAAGCTCAAATGACGACAACATTTATTAGAACAATTTGACCCTGGACTTGCAATTTGATAAACGAATTACAAAAATAAGGAGTTAGTACAATATTTGAGCGATTAGGTCAGAATTTTGCTGTTTACTGGTTCATCGAGTATAATACTGAGCTTACAAACAGTCTGGCGACAGCTTAGTTGATTCGAAGTGATGAAAACCGCGCGTGCACAAGCGCGTACAACTTACAAGCACTCATGAGTACATAAATATGTATAAATAGAATAAGTTTGTACTTACAACAGATGTATGTATGTATGCAAGTACATATTTATGTACATACACTGGGGGGGGAAAATAATATAAACGAGACAATGAGAGTTTAGTTACGTCAGCTAAATATGTTTCTTTCAACACATGACTTGGTTATAGTTACATTTAGAGATGGGCACAGGCCTATTTTTATTTTTTTTTATTTTACAACGCTTTTATCAACTTGCAATGTTGTGTGTCCAGAAACTTTCAATGTTGTGGATCCAGAAACTTTCAATGTTGTGTGTCCGACACCATAAAGCTTTGCTTTGAAAAGTTCCTATAAAAAAGCATAGTGCATAGGGCGACATCTGTAGTGAATAGGGCGAGGTAGATGGCATCTAGATGTCGCCCTATGTACTACGTTTGCTACAGCGAAAATAGACGACACGCCATTTCTTTAAATAAAATTAATTGGTGCTCGTTTGTATGTACATACATATGTAAATGCATGTGTGTGCACCTTTCTATTAATATCGTTGAATTATTTTAATATCTATTGCAATTAATTTTCAATTTCATAGATTGTTTATAATGACTTTTGCTAAAATTTCAAAATCAAAAGTTATCAAAACAAATTCTATGGGACTGAGAAATATTATTTTCTACTTTTTAGTCCATTTATAAAAGCGTTGTATATTAAAAGGTTTTTTTTTGTATTATTTATTTATATATATGTATATATTTTTTTAATAGTTTTCTTCGTGCATTAACCAAAAACATGTAAAACAAACTTTCAAACTTTATGCAGAATTTAATAAAAAAATTAAACCTGAATTTTTCGAAAATAAAACTGCATACCTTTTGTAAAAATTTTGAGTAAAAACTTCGATATTTTGTTGAATTTTTATAATTTTTGTACAAAAATTTAATTGTGCATTTATATAGTGTTTGTTATATAGATAATGAGCTAGACATTTACAAAAAAAATAATATATATATGTGGGGAGTTGTAATTCGATGAAATCCATCATATCAAAGGAAAAAGTGAATTTTGAATTTTTTATAAGTTACGACTTTTTGCATTTTAGCGACGATGTTTGTTACGTCTTTTTGCACTTCAGGTGACGCTATGTACATATATACTTATGTATGTGTACATCTACATAGCATTGCAGAGAGTAGTATGACTTATTCTCAATGTGGTTTTTCTTGCCCAACAAGAACTTAAAAAAAATTGTGTCGTGTTTTAATAAACAGTAATGTAAAACCATATTCCCGTGAAACCACGTTGCCACACTGTAAGCCTACAGCTATAAGAAGTTCATTATGTAAGATCACAGCTGAATTAAATTTTGTCCAAACTAAGGGTGAATACGAAATTTAAACGATTGGCAAAAGAACATTACTCGTCATTTAAAAGCACAACACACGAATTACAATCCATCATTTATGAAATGAATGAATGAGTATCAAAAACCAAGCAGTCAAAGGTGTTACAGATCGCTCATCTTAAACAAACACACCACTGATCACCTGAGTTTCTGACCACATAAACACAATCTTTTTGCATACATACTTACAATTAATTAAAACCTTTTGAACGTTCTACCAACCACATAGGGACCGACCGGTCAGAATTCGCGTGCTTACTGCTTAAAGCCGTTATAAGTTGAAGAAAAGGTGAGATCCACCGCCGGTACCGACACGAAATCAGAACAGTATAACACCTTCGACAAAACACCGAGCAACTAAACGACTTAAGCGATCGAGCAAGCGTCTATCATACACGTAAGCAAGTTTTCCGCTGACTGAATAGCAAAATTTCATATACTAAATTAAGAGACAACACTTGCTTGTGCCAATTCCAAGTGTTTAGCTGTGCTAGTGTAGTGGTAGTAGCGTTAATGGTAGCGGTGTTGACGTTATAAATAAAGGCAGTTATAATGCAGTAACTACAAACAAAAAATAAAAAAAAAGAGTAAAGCCTTTGCGACGATAACAATGAATTTAAGATAGCAGGAAATAGCGCCACTACTAGAGATATGCGATATGGTGAGCATATCAATGGCACTGCCGCCGATATTGTGGTGGGTGCATGTCTCACTACTACTATGTATAAACATTAGACCGTTCCGGAAAAAAAGTGAATCTAAAGTATTTTTTGTCAAGGCAGTTTCGAAAAAAAAAACATTTTTTTTTGCCGAACGTAGGTGTCACCTTTTAACCTTTTTCGTCATATCTTCGTAATTTACAGTCGGATCTTGAAGTATGATATATCGTTGCTCTTATCCCGATGAGACTATTCCAAAGTTCTTTGACCTCAAGTACGACGTTCTAGTACTTCCCACCAGATGTCACCCTAACCTATTTATCTCTCTAACGTCCCACCTGAATACTAATAATAACAGATTGGCGCTTACACATATCGAGCCCTAACCGCCAAAATAACGTAAGCGACATTTATTTTTGATGCCGAAATGCGTCTAGATGCTCTAGGAATATTTCTGCATCAAAAATAAAATTTTGAAAAAAATGTCGCTTACGTTATTTTGGCGGTTGAGGCTCCATATGTTAGTGTTTGGCCGAGCTTCTCCTCTGATTTGTGGCGTAAGCCTTGATGTCCTCACACAACCTGGAGGGACCTACAGTTTTACGCTCACTCCGAACCGCGATTGTATTTTTATGAGAAGCTGTTTTTCATGGCAAGGAATCCACTCGGAGGTTTGCCATTGCCTGCCGATGGACGACCACGGTTAAGAAAAAAACCTTTTTTCTACATTTTTTCCGATGTTGCTTTGATCAGGACTCGTCTTTTGTAGAAACGAAAACGCCATAAGACTCAGCGGTTACGGCGATTTACTTTTTTTGTTTGCTTGTGGTGGTTCGGTCTAATGTACTAGTACATATGTACATATATATGTTTGAATATGTCATCATGTACATACTGGCATACATCTGTATAGATAAATAAATTTGAAGTATGTACATATGTATATATGTAGTAGTCCAACGTATTAGTGGTGTCCAACCGGTAGGTCGCGGGCGCCTAGTAGCTTACGCGACCTATATATTTAGAATAGCCAATTGTAAATGTAATGTAATACAATTGCAAAACTAAATAAGCGCAATAAAATTTTTCAGAAATTATGACTGCAATCTCATCGTTTGTGGAGAAAATCGACATATGAAAGAGGCTGTTGGTAGAGAGAACCTTTCAGCTTTTCCCTTCGTTTGCTTTTCTTTAAATATTTTTTTTTTAATAAATAAAGGTTTTTAAAGGGATAAATCTGTGGTCATAAGCGATAACCGCCTAAGTCGACTTAAGAAAGAATTGAGTTATATATGCTGTCGTATTCTATCGTATAGGCTATTTAAAAAGTTATAGGCGAACATATTTTGGTTTCCCCATAAGGTTAACATTGCAATCCAAAAATGTTTAAAACGCTTTTTCTCGAATTCAGGTTTTTCGACTTAGGCGGTTATTGCTTATGCCCACAGAAATTAAGATTGGAATTAATTTCCGCCGGGATTGCAAATTTTATTATACATATTTGAAGACTTCCACCAAAATATTTCGGAAAAATATTAGGCTTTACGGGAGTTGGACCGATTTGAAAATACCTCCAAAAATGGAGTTTTTATGAATGAAAATAGTTTCTTAAAGATTTTTTTTTTCTTGAAAAAAACCCTTCAGATGTCAAAACAGATTAAGTTTAAAAAAAATCTTAAATCTTAAAAAATCTGCAAACTAAATCATGTAAACCGGACTGCTATTGCAACAGACTAAGAGTTGAAAAGAATTGGCTGTGAAATATAATGGCAAATTTACAAACAAGCAGGGTTCATTGAACAGAAGCCCAGTAAGAAAAAAAGAAGTTGCCGAACTTTTGCGCACAAATGTTGAGAAATTCATTGAAATTCGAGAGCGCTAAAGTTGTTAAAAAATTTTAGCATTAAGCCGTGAACTATTTTTCGGTTTTGAAACATCGCTGAGATAAATACATATGTATGTATGTACATTAGGGTGGTCCTTAGATGTAGGCAGCAAATTGTTATACATATTAGATTTCCTAGGCCCCAACCCCTACGTCGATTATAATATAGTCGAAGACATCACGAATAAATTTTGACCACGACTGGAGACCGTTAAGGCGTGACGCACAGGGGGCAAAGTTCAGATTCCTCTATGGAGACTCACAAATATTAAATTTTTTTTTTTTCCCCATCTGAAAACCAAAATCGATCCTTCTTTAGTCGAAGATATCACATATAAATTTTGGCCCAGATTGGAGTCGTTTAAGGCCTAATCTTATATGTGTATCGTCCACTTTAGTAGTATCGAAAAAAATATTTTTAATTTTTTGAGTCTCCGTAAAGGTATCTGGCCCCTTTGCGACACACTTTACCGATTGAGGAGGTGAGGCTGGAAAAAATCGTTCATTTGATTTTTTAAGGACCACCCTAGTGCACATGCATACATAACAAGAACAACAACCGCACCTCCCCACTGAATTAAAAAAACGTGATAATTACCCAGATACGATATTTGGCGCGACACAACTTAACAATAGGCAACTTTGCGTCGCCACTTTCAGGTTCTTACTTCATGCGGTTGTTGGAAATCATCATTAAATACAAACATACACACATACATACATAAATATGTTATCAAAAATAGCAACAATAATTTTCGGTGATAAAAATTGGGTAAAATTTCTATACACACAACTGAAGCGATAACTTACTTACAGTTCAAATGGCCTGGAGGAATGCGAATTAAGTGACTCTTCTTATTGGTTTTCTCTAAATATCACAGAAACTTTCAACGGAGTTTTATACAATTTTTAAAAGCGCTAAATAATTTCAAAAGAAAAAAAGTAATTTAAATTATTTTCATTCACATTGCTGCAAATGTGAGCATTTTCGCGTTTTGAAAAAATTTACGGCAAAACACCACTATGGCCACCACGCGTCACAATAAACCGAACTTCACCGCATCGCGTCGTGACTTTCAATGCAACACAGCACTAATTCGCTCTCTCCGCGGTCGCGTTGAAGTGTCAGTTCCGGTTGAGCTTAGCATGGAAGTGCATATTTACTATTAATTAGCGCTTGACGACCACTATATGTTTACCGAGCAGCTAGATATTCATTCAAACTCTCACAGGCACTTAGCCAATACTATTTATGTATGTAAAAAAAAAAAAATCAAACAATACTTTGGAAAAAAGTTTAACTAAATTTGCAAATATGCGTTAATTGCAATTCATAAAGTAGAAAAATTACAAACTTAAAAAAGCTGAGATCTTGAACCCGAGGAGCTGAGCGTGCAAAGATCTCCGTGGTTTGTATAGTTGCCAGCGAGCAGTGGGTACTTTGAAGCGCACGCTAGGCACAGGAGTAACGCCACTGCCGCTGTTCATGGCGCACCACCAGCCGCGGTGGTTTGGCTCGCCAGCCAACTTATCTGGCAGCCAGTCACCCGCACCAGCCCCCGCTGGCTGCTAGCTGCTTCCTGTCTTCTTTCACTTTCTCAACAAGTGACTGCAACGACGCGTCACGCGACAACTTTCGACGAAAGAATCGCACAAAGCAAAATGCAAAAATTCAAAATAACGAACGACACAAATAAATATTCAAATTTTTGCACTTGCCAAATATGTATATAAGTCGCGTTGTAAAAAAGTGGCCGTAATCGCATTTCATGCAAATATCTTTATGTATATCTTTGCACACAGTTGATTTTTCAACAATATTCGGAGTTATAGAAACACAAAATTGAACATAAACACTCACATACAAATAAAACACATACGACACACCACAGCAATGTAAGGAAAGTATTGCACTGTGTGGAAAAACGGCGACGAACGCAAATAACGAGAACGTGAACACAAAACTCGATCTACAATATAAACTGCTCGATTCGAAAGTCAAATGCAAAATGATGATGATGATTCGAAAAATTACATGGAAACGAGTGCTCCCACCAGAGAGCGTATGTGGAACGCCGCACGCACGTCAGTCATTCAACAGGCGACGACGCAACACTCTCATGTACACATTCGTTCAAAAAAAAAAAACAAAAAAAAACCAACAAGAAAAGAAAAGTCTGCAAAAGTATAGGCATAGACAAGTTAATGCCGTACCGTATCGGGGCGGAGGAGCAGCTGCCAACGCCGTCACTTCAACGAGCGCCGCCAGCAAGCAAGTCGATAAACTGAGTAAGCGATGAGCCACCTTCCATTTCCATTGGAACGATGACGTTCAGTACTCTCACAGCGGCATTGTCCAGTTGCTCAACCACTTTTGAGTCGCACTCACAGCTTACAACTCACAAGTGGGGATGCATAGATGCGTACATATACATATATGTATGTATGTATGTATTAACGACCCAGCCCTACCAAGATTCAAGCTATTAAATGAGCTCGTAAGCTGGCTATCAGAATGCTGGTTGTTGGTGCGGCGGTTGGTTGGTTCATCTGTCCTTAACCGACATGCTAAAACAGCGAAAAGCAAGCTTCAGCTTCAGACTTACGTATCAGCGAATACATCGTCATATTTGCACTAACACACCTACCTAAGTGTCTACGCCAGAGGTGGAAAGTCTTGTGGTTGTGATAAAGTTTCATTTAAAAATGTTATTGAGAATAACACTCGCTTACTCAGGTGATCGCGTTAGCATACAGTGAAGTTTTTTTCGTTCGATTCCATGGGCGTTTGCAGAGCGGCTCTAAAAGTTCTCACAAGCACCACAACAGAGCGCCATTTTGGTTCAGCATACAAATCATTCGACTAGGCAATGCGAAAAAGCCGTTTCATATGAATGAAATGTGCCCATAATTTTAAAGTAAATCATCTTTTACTGCATATGAGCAAAAATCCCACGAGTTGTTTTTGTTTTTTAGTGTCACTCCCTTCTCTCGGCAAAAAAAAAAAGCTAAAGCATTCTTCTTGCAATTATTTCAATCAATGAAGTTCCAGAAATAAGTACAATAAAAAATATATCACGTATTTGAACAATTTTACCCTTAAAATGTTTATTTAGGCGAAAAGGTACCGAAATTACTCTATTTTTATTGTCACTCGAAAAAATCAAATTTTTTTTTTTTTTTAATAACTTTGGTAAGTTTTCAAATGGAATATTCATGTTTTAGGCATCAAATACAACATATCTGTGAAGTTTAAAGAGTGCAGAGAGAGAGAATATCTGTCGCAGCTATTTTGAATTTTTTAAATTTTACAATTTTTTAATTTTAATAATTTAGGATAATTCAAAATGCTAAAATTAAAGGATGAAAATGTTCTTCTTTCCAAAACGAACGAATAAGACTAGTGCCCGAGATGGCACTTCATTTTCGGTATATCGTCACCTGAAATGCAAAAAGTCGTAACTTATAAAAAATTCAAAATTCACCTTTTGATTACATCGTTAAAAAAAAATATTAGTTACGTCTTTTTGCGTTTCAGGTGACGATATGTACAGTATTTACTTCCTCAAAAGGCAGGAGAGAAAATCAAATTTCTCGCTTTCTTGGTGTCATGAATTAATAAATCTTAAAAAAGTTTTGATCATTTATTTATAATATGAGTAGGCCAATCTTCTTTTCCTCTCTGAATGTTGAAAACATCACATGCAGTCATAAACAAAAGAGTGATGGCACAGGGTGTTTCAATAAAAATCTCATTTAGATTCGCCTTCTATTATTCATACAAACAGTACTTAAACCTCTTTTATGTGCTTTTTTTGTTTTAAGAAGACTACGGACAAAGGAAAGATTTCTTATATTGCACACATTTATGCATACGGTAAATTTTGATGAAATACATTTAATTAATAAGCATTCGAAAAAAAATTTAAAAAAGGAAACTTCAGTTTTTCTTAAATAAATTAGACTGGTTCAAAGAAATCTACTTTTTTTTAAATCACTTGTGAAATATTTTCGGGACAGTGAAAAAAGACGTCTGTCAAACGCACCGTCTATGGGGCCTATTAGGATTTAATATCAAAAAAGGTATTTTGAGAAAAAATTTCAAATGTCAAATTAAAAGATTTACATTTGGGGTATTTAGTCGGATGACTGACTCGGTTTTTCCAAACCGGGTTTTATTTTTTTTTTTAAATCTATAGGCGGCTTTTTTGAAGAAGTCTTTGTTTTTTTCGAATATCAAATAAACCGGATTTTTGATTGAACAAACCGGTTTTTCATTTCATCAAAATCTTGACCTCTGAATAAAAGTTTTAAATTTTATGAAGTTCTGCATTTCAAGGGAAGTCCCTAAATAGTTTCAAAATTATATCCTAGGTTATTTGGGGATGAACAATATATTATATTTGATTCCGAGCTTCTCTTCGCATTCGTGTTCAGCTTTTTATGGCGGAAGTACACTCGGAGGGTTGCCATTGTCTGCCGAGGGGCGACAGCTGCTTGAAAAAAACTTCCTGTTGATGTTGCTGTTAGGCACCTCTAAGCACTCAGCTACAGGGGTAAGAGCACTACTCAAAACCGAAAAAATTCAGAAAAAACGCAATAAGGTATTAAAAAATTACCAAACGGGTTTTTTCTGATTTTTATTTGTTTTAATTTTGATACAAGGCTTTTGGTTATGCGGTTATATTTTTTATTCGGTTTACATCAATAAAATACACAACAGAATAATAATCTTTAACCAGATAACCTGATAACCAGGCAAGTGTGAACAACCTCTATGTAAACTAAAATCAGTTTATCCGTTTTTTTCTTAATTTCAAAATCGGCAACCGTTTTTTTTTTTCAAATTGCAATTTTTCGAATAACATAACTCGAAAGCCGGTTCTGGAAAAAAGGCGAATAATCGAGTACCCTAGTATTCGGGGTTAACTGAAATGTGGTGAAGCAAGCACGTCAGCAGCTTAGAGTTACAGCTTCTGAAAGTAATTCTATAACTATCAGTAAAGATCGGAAAATTGCAAAAAAACACTTTTTGAACCACCCTTTAAAAAAATAAATGAAAAATCGAAGGTTCAACAGGTGAGTTTGTAGACGGCTCGTAATAAAATTCAATCACTCCTAGGCATATGTATGTGTATTTTCATTAATTTCTATATATGTAGGTTCTATGTATACGTACATATGTTTATTGTACGAGTACCGACGTACATATGTATGCAAGTTAACGATTTCAAATGCAGTGAGTAATTGCAAGACACTTAAGTACACACATTAATGTAGAATGATGTCAGCTGAAAAAATAGTTTTGACAAAAATCTTGCTTCAACTTTTGATAACATTTTCTGAGGAAACATACATACATACATATGTAGGTACATATCGTTGATGAAATGTAGAAAGGCCATAACCAAGCTGTATTAAACAAAATGTGATTTACAACTCAGTGCGGCTCTCTTTTAAGATACTATAGTGTCAAAAATATTAACAAACGATTCAAAATTCATAAAAATTTTTTTTCAATTTGACTTTATAGGATGGTTCTTATGAGAGCAATGTCGAATTCAATCACACTTTGTTAAATACCATAGTGAAATTATACCAGGAGTAGTAATACGGGCGAGAAAAAAGATTCGCGTCTTATTTGAAAATTTGATTGAGAAAATTTCTATAAAATAGCCGAATGTCAAGAAAACTAAGAAAATAAAGCGAGAAAGCTGTTTTATCCCTACACCTGGTATAATTTCACCATGGTTAAATATATTTTGGCCCTAACATACACAACTTATTTTTATTTTTTTTTTTCAGGAGACCCAAAAAACGTATATATATGTACATATATCAAATATAATAAAATTTTTATTGAAAATTATTGATGGAATTTATGTTAAATATTAATACCTAACATAATTTAAAACAACTTTAATTTTTTTATCAATAATGTAGAATTTCTGTCAGCTAGAGCCTTTGTGAATGCGAACTTATGAAATAAATGTTTCAGTTAGGGCTATTTGAATACATGTAATGTAATATCCAATATAATATATTATTTTGTTTCCATATCAAGGCAAGGTAGTAGTTACTTTCGAGTAATATTTATATAATTGTCAGACGTCTGTAGTTTCCTTGGACCCACGACATCTCTCAAAATGAATTAAAAATTTATTTTCGAGCACTTTTGTCAAACAGAAGGCATTTACGGTCATTTTCCCTTAACTATATCTAGACGGCCTTTGACCAAAAGCATTCCCGTACTTTGTCTTAGATATTACAGTATAATCCTTACCATTCATCCTATTTTTTTCATCTGATCAGTAGAAAATACTTCAATCAAAAGGCATCACATCCAAAAAAATATCGTTAATTGATTCGCAACTCTCTGAAGCCGACCCGCTTTTTTAAGGCGATATCATTAGGCGAATATTTTTGTTTGGAAGCTTAACTTTGAGCTAATAGTTCTCACTTATTTTTTTACGAAAATTTACTAAAATTTAGTCTACACAAATTATGGAAGCTTCTTTTAACGATAGCAATGCAGTTTTTTAAATCTATGTTTTATTTTTAATCAATAACTGTTACTTTCAAAAACGATATTTTGAAAAAAATCTAAATCAAAGATCTCACTTTAGGAAAGGATTACAAAATGTTGCTATTCTAGTTATGATTTAATATGTCAATTAGAAAAATATAGTATTTTCGCGCTATGTACTTTTTAACGGAATGTGTGTTGAAATAGCAATATTTACAAGCTTTTATTTACTTCCACCTGTGTAAAAAAACGGTGGAATGTGCACTCCGGAGATGCTTTAGAAGCAAGGCATAAGGATTTTAGGAAATGCCGTTGGGAAAACACTAGAAAAATTTCACCAAAAATGCAATGACAAAATTTTTTCGCACTTAATTTTTATCTTCCGAACCAACATGGAACGGAATTATGTAGAAAAAAGGATAACAACAATAGAAACCCCTTTGTAATAATACATGAAGAGGCAATTTCAATAG